CTGAAAAACTGTTCTTGCTTACCTTAAGTTGAGAGTGCTTGTCCTTTATTTCGTCCTTTAGAATGCTGCGATGATATTTATTCCGTAGTTTATTCCGTGCCGACTTCAGGTTTCGCCATCTAACAAACTTTGGATATACCTTGTTATCGCGACATTTAACGAGAAAGTCCAGGTCAAGTTCCGTTTTGCGTTATAACACTTTTGGTATTTGGTGGTCGCTATATGGACATCTGGCTCAGTAGTACGGAGCGTTTTCCAAAAACCGAAAGGTCCACTGATTAATCTCAGATAAGAAAGTATAATACATACTCCAAGTATTGAAATACACGCCATCGTGTTGGGATTCAATATTTCGACATTAATTATGTCATCACCTTTTAACGCCTTTAATTACAGCATATTATCTCGGATAATCTCCAGCCTTTTAACACCTTTAATTACACTTGGCTCATTTAGTGAGAGAGCAGCTTAGCTCAGTCGGCTAATCTGGTGGTAGCCACTGTATGTGCGCTGAATCGTGGAGATCTCTAGATCCCCGGTTCAATTCCCATCGCTGCCTCTGCTTGTGTTTCAGCTATAGGGCTGAAATACAAGTTACAATAGCGCACCGTCTTTCGGATGAGACGTTTAAGCCATTGGTCCTGTCTGCATTATGGCCCATGTGCACATTAAAGAACGCAGTACACTCTTCGGAAAAGAGTAGGGGATTGTCTCCCGGTGTACTGCCCAATCACCACCAGAAGAACCCCACTGGAAATAAGTCTTCTCCTAGACTTTCGTGGGCTATCCTTGGTTTTTACACCGAATAAATCCATTCCATTCCATTCCATAGCACTGCATCATGATGTCAACATCATTTATTTATCTATTATAATTATTATTTAAATTATTTTCTATTATAACCATTAAATAAAAACCATTGTTTCATTTCATATCCCATTATTTAATTTAATCCCTCCTTTGTTATGAAAAACCTCCTTTGTTATGCAAAACATCCTGGTCACTCATTAATAACTACTTCCCTGATTTTAAATGAAATAGCAGTTTTACCCATAGATAGTCTTGCTATTCTCTTTATATAATTTGAGGTCATGTGATGCAAAATGCGGCCTTTTGATTGGTCGAGAGCCTCCCAATTTGTAGCATTGAACTACTTAACCGCACCTGTCCCAGAGGGGATAAAAAAAACCTGAGTATTCATGGAAACACTACAATTATTGTTCCACCAGTGAATTTTTTTTTACTTTTCTTCTTCGTACCATTAATTTCATATCCAGATTTATTAGCAGAATCCTTAATTACACCATCATATCGGAACAAAACAGTCCAATAGTATGTCCTTTAGGAACATACTATTGTTATTAATATGACTCATTCAAGTCACACCTATGGTATAGGTGAGGATTTGAATCTTTTAGTTCAACCAATGGAATATCTGGCAGGGGTTTACATGTGTCGACCTCAGGTTTCTGCCCACCACACGAGCAGGAGGAAGTATGCTTCTAAAAGTGTCCGGCTTCTTCTGCTTTTTTTCCTCAAAATTCTTTTGCCGAACTCGAGTAGCAGCGTTTCCCTCCTGCTTCCGAGGTCAGACCTTATACACTAAGAGCAGTAATGATGTGAAGAGCTCTCTTTTGAACTTTCTCTCTATTGACATGGATTTATTGCTTATAATTAGACTGTGTCACACAGGGCAAGCATATTCTACATTGGGCCGTAGAAAATGCACACTTGTACCATATCGCCAGGGGGAGCTTTTGCCTTCTTAAGGATAACCAAGGTGTAATGGCGCCGACAAGCTTTAGTTACTATATCGTGTATATACATTTTTCCATGAAAGGTTGTCTTTAAGGTGACCCCTATCAGTTTCAAATGATTTACACACCTCAGATCATGTCCGTTTAGAGAGAACTATAGGAGGATGAAATTCGGACTTAAGAAAAGATATTCTCATAACACTGCACTTAGAGGGTTTGGGGATGACTCCATTTTCCAGGCACCAATAATCAATTTATGTAAAATATTCTGATCTAAATAAATAAAATTAAATATTGTTGCAAAATTTTTCTCTGGAAAACTAATATAGCAAAAATGTACATCAGCTAGTACAAAATTCATTTTATTTTCAAATGTCTCACATAACTAACTGAAGGCTGTTCCAATCCCACATAAGCCTAGGGTACATACATGATTGAACTTAAGAATCGTTTGATAGATTACAACTTGTGTCAAAGCTTAAACTTTTGAGCAATGGAAGATGATAGGATAGGAGATCACAATTTGACAGTGTTTATCATAAATGCTGAGATTTCGTTTACAAAATAATAGTCATTATATCTGAGAACCTTTAAAGTATGTAAAGCTACAATCTGGGTAAATGTGTTAATTAAAAACAGTGATTGACGTTAAGGTCACCGAAATCATGTCTGGAAACAGTATTGGTGCCTGCAGTATCAACAATAATAATACATAAAATGAAATTTAATATTCTGCTATCATTAACATACAATTAGTATAATAGTGTTTTTTTTTAACTTAAAAAGACGTATACATTTATTTATGATCCATAGTAATATTAAGAAGGTTTACCTACGAAACAATGTATTACTACTACAATTATCATATAAGTAGGCCAGGTATGTTCTTCAATTGTTCGAGTGAACAGGTTATTTGCCCACGATCAGTTGTTTTGGTGGAAAATGATTCCCAGGTTTCTGCAAAAAAGTTTTCAAAAAAAAAAAAAAAAAAAAAAAAAAAACGATAAACAAAATTAAATTTTAATTAATAATTAATTTAAAAAACATTCATGTTTATTTATTACTAGCCGTGTACCCGTCCTTCGCACGGGAATCAAGGCAAACTGAATGCATGAGACAATTTTCAAAAAAAGTATTATTATAAAAAAGAATTATTTTCAAGAACCACATTTGTATTAATAAAATAATAAAAACAAAGTATAATAGTATAAACATTGTATAAATCACTAATTTAATGTTTTCTTGCTTTTTTCATATCAATATGGATTTTCTTTATTTCCCTAATTATTTTTGCCATTGTTGCTATAGATTACTTTTATTTTAGTAAATTGATGAGTTTTGCGTACTGTATAATAATTATATTTTGTATCTATATCATTTAATTTCTGCGTTTAACTTTTGTTTATTATGTACCGTACTGTGTATTTTATGTTAATTGTAAATACGACAATAATAAAACTGCATTATATATGTTGATTTGTACTACGTGAATAGGCCAAAATGAAGTTTTACTACTACTACTACTACATGGGTGGACTAGTTGTCATTGTTGGTGTCCTGGTGGAACTGAAATAAAAACTGAACGCCTTTGGGCTGTTACTAGTCGTCGTGGTCATCATCATTCTCGTTAGCAGAATGAATGTCATGAAATAATTGAAAGAGTAATCATCATCTTCACCATTCTCATTAACAGAATGAATGTCATGAAAGCATTAAAACAAATAATAGAAATATTTGTATTGTAATTTCATTACAGATCAAGTCTGTGTTTAATCAGTAATCGTCGTTTATTTTTAACGTATTTGTTTGTTTCTTAACCCTTTTTAACACATAGCAGGGGCTGATCCAGAATTTTTCAAAAAGGGGGGGGGGGGAAAGAACATTTTTAGAATAGTTAAGAGAGTAATACATGACACTGACATGCATTAAAATAAAATAAAAAATAGTGTAAAAACAGGGGGAACGTGCCCTTCCACCTCCAACCAGATCACCCCTGCAGAGTGGTTTCATCATTTATCTTGTGTATTACAAAGTGTACATAGTTTGATTCTTTGGGTAAATATCGGCTCTCTGATATAGGCAACTTAAGGTTTCCGCATCGTTGTATTCAAGGTACTGAAATTAAATGTGTTTCAAATTTAAACGTTAAAGAGTTAAACAGTCTATAGTGTAAGCCCAATATATTGGTAGTTCTAATGAGAGAAATTTGTGTTGCTATATTATCCAGCCTAAAATTTAAAAAAAAAGTGCTTATAATCAATTTCTTAATAAAATTACTTCGCTCGTATTTTTAAACAATTAAAAAAACACTAAAAAGAAAGTTGAGGTTCTTTATCTTGGGAAACATGCTTCCAATAATTAAACATTTGTTTTTACTTTATCAATAATATTGAGGGGTGACATGTTTGCTTTTGAATTTTCTATAGGCCTATTATAGATTGAAGAATTGTATTCCAACACCAGATTATAAATTGACTAAGAAAGATGTCTTTGCAATCAATTTAGTCAAATTGGTGTTTTCTTTGTAGTAGAGATTTTGAGTACTGGTAAAATGATATCAGCACGTTGGAATATCAGGATAGTAGGTCTACAATATTTTTTCAAAAGCATATGTTTGGCAAAGTTTTTTAGATGAACACTTAGGTTGAATCCGTTTCAAGCAATCCCTCTCTGCTGTGAAGATCTTGCTGTAACTGACACAACTGTGAACAGCATGAAAAGAAAGGAGAAATGAAAATTTAATATAATCAAGTCGCCTAGTCCCTTGTACTATATAGTGTTGCTTTAATAACAATAATTAAAATCAGTTTAAAAAGAATAATTGAAAAGCATTGTTAAAGCGGTGAATGATGTTGAGCCTATGGACCATGGTATGGATAATCGCAACAATCAAAAAATTAATATAAATGTTAAACATTAAACAACTTTATGGCAACTATAGTTATTAGGCAGTTTTCGCCACAACGTTAACCTTAACGTTAACGGATGACGTCATAATTGATTCATCTGGCGTAGCGCAGTACATTAATTTTAGGATTTTAAGTTCTCAACTTACGTTAGTTACGGGTTTGCCCATGCGTATTTCGATTCGTTTACAAAAGAGAGTAGTAAGGTACTGCAGTATACCACACTCTAGAGGGCGCTAGGGGACCGGACGCTAATGACATCCTTTAATCTCTTTGTTTTCGAACAATAGAAGGGAAAGGACGCTAATGACATCATTTACTCCCTTTGTACTAGAACAAAAGAAAGGAAAGGACGCTAATTACATCATTTAATCCCTTTGTTTTAGAACAATAAAAAGGACGCTACTGACATCATCAAATCCCTTTGTTTTAGATAGTTATATTTACCAGGTGTTCCCTTTGTTTAGTTACAATAGAATCTTAATTGTCTATTATCTTTTAAACCCTTTGTTCTCCGGTTTTTTAAATCACAATAGAAACTTAATTGTCAATTATCATTTCATCATTTTGTTTTAATTATATCTGCCTGGTGTGTCGGATGATCATTGAAATTTAAATTCCTCTTAAACAATAGGAATTAAACATTAGAAAGGATATGCGGTGTCTTTTTTAATAGGATTAATTAGTAGGATAATTGTTTGTATAGTAAAAAGTGACGATACGTCATGATAGAGAATGAATTCTGTTGGATGAGAGATTTGAGTGACGTAAAATGCGTGACTTGTTGGTTCGAATTACCCGCGCTTCTAACGTCATGTAATGTCTGTTATGCCTGTAGTGCATACATTTAGAAGAAATGTAGTAGGGGAAGAACATAAGTTTAGTTGTTTAAATTTCATCGAATTAAGCAATTTGTTTTTAGAGGGAAAATACATGAACATGGAAACTGAACGAATTGCACGAGAAATAAATTCAGCGTTTGTGGCATATAAACTAGGCAATGACATGGAATATATAGAGGTTCTAAACAGTATTTTTTTTTTAAATAAAAGGTAAGTTACTTTTTTGTATTTTCAATCATTGATAAAAACATTTAATTCATGTATATATACAGTAATATCATTCAATCATTACTTGGTATATAAATGAATTTGTTTCCAACTCTATAGGCCTATACATATTTTTTTTCAGAACAATTTCGATCAATCGTTTACTCAACACAAATTGATAGCAGAAATTCCTCTAATGAACGTTTCGTTAGGGATAGCATTAAGCCTAATACCAACTTTGTATCTATACAACAAATTCTGTCAAGGATGACATGTGTGAATTATGTGTATATAGACACACACTTGTCCAGGATGTTTTTTTTGTCAGCCGTCAAATGGTGTATTAAATACCGACAGGATCTAAGCTGGTGAACTTTACAATAAATGTGAATTCGTTCCAGAGTCAGATGAAAATGACAATGGGAAAACTAACACGGAAATATATTTCAATGTTTTAGTAGGACTAGATAGCGAACCCGATAATCTGCCCGATAATCTGGAATATTGTTATTTGTTTTCATGCAAAATTTGATCAAATCAAATAATGTTACCTTTTATTCCACAATGGGAAACGTTATATCAGTAATCGAGCATCACAACGCGAGATATTGAAGGAGTTCCTGCAAGAGCATTTTGTAAATTATATGATGATCTGTATATTTTGAAACAAAATAAATGGAAAGCTGTTGTTTATTGTTGCAACACATATATGAAATTACATCGTGCACCGGTAGTGGAGCAATACAATAGGCATTTTTCGTTTTGACTACGCGGCCAGTCTACTACGAACTAATAGAGCGTAACAGACATCTGCGCATGCTCACAAACCTTACTGGCTAAATCGGCGTTGTGACAGCTTCCGCGACAACCCCAATTTCTAAATTTAGTGTAGCGTAGTGGCGACTACCCTAATATTGACCAATCAGATCACCGGATTGTAACTTTTTTGTTGGGGGGTTCCAATTTTCATCGCATCCGCGATCGAGCATTGTTCGTTTAATAATGAATGTAAAAAAAAAAAAGAATTTGGGAAAAAAAACTAAAATGTACGAAACGTAACAAAATCTACGAAGCAGTTACTCTCAAAATACTTTTAAAAAAGTTTAAAATTAGTAAACTACTATGGTTACCTGTTTCCATTTAATTAGGAAAAAAGTGTTTAAGGCCACTGCAGTGCTCTGTTAATTTATTGTTACTCATGACTCACGAGATGTGTATAACATACTTTTGTACAACAAAAATGTTATAACTAAATTAATACGACTTATGTAAAAAAAAACATTTCTATATACGTAATATATATTAGGAAATCATAAATTCATACATATGTATCAAAATTACATAAACATTAATAGGAACGCGTTATTTTAACCAACACTACCACGTAAAACTCCTTTGAAAGCAAAATTACGTACATTATTTCAACAGAAAAAAAGTAAAATGCTTTTATAAACGATAGCCATGTAAAACTAAAATCCATAGAGCAAAACCTAGTCAAATTTAAAAACATGTAAAACATTAATTCAAAATCACATTCAGAATAATAAAAGAAAAAAAAAGCAAGAATATTTTTAATTAGTCAAACTGTTAAAATTCAGAGAGACGAAAAAAGATTAAGTCAGAAGTATTCGACACAAAAAAATATAAAAAAACACTGTAAGTTAAAAGTAAAAAAAAAAAAGAATTTGGGAAAAAAAACTAAAATGTACGAAACGTAACAAAATCTACAAAGCAGTTACTCTCAAAATACTTTTAAAAAAGTTTAAATTGTAAAAATGACCAATCAGAACCTGTTATTTTTGCTTGGTTTACACTTTACGAGAAGTACCATTACTGAGTACGATGGTATGGCTAACACGAATATAATATTTGAAACGCGTCTATTTGTTGATAAAACGTGTTTGTTACAAGAAATATTGTGGAATTATATTATAACTATAGTACTTTGTTGTAAGTTTTTAGATTGTAGTCGCAACAGAATAGAATTTAGTAAACTACTATA